AAATTAACCCTGCAGACTTCCACAAAAATGAAATCCTCCGCCTTTGCGTTGTTGATATTGATGTCCCTAAAAAGAAGATATTGCTTTCCATGCGATCCTCAAGGGTCCTTAGCTCATCTTTGCCAATTCAAGATCCAGAAATATCCTCGATTAGCCAAATAAAGGTTAATGACATCGTTCGTGGCTTTGTCCGGAGAGTTGCTGATAATGGTCTTTTTGTTACCCTGGGCCACAACGTTATAGCCTACGTTCGAATCTCGGATCTCTCAGATTCGTATCTTAAAGAGTGGCAGAATGAATTCCAAGTAAACCAGCTTGTGCGTGGAAGGGTAATTTTGGCGGACGCTGAATCCAATAAACTTCAAATGAGCCTGAAGGAATCGGTCCTTGATCCAAACTACAAGACACCGATCACAATCAAAGACCTGAAGCGCGGCCAGACCGTTACCGGAAAAGTCCGCAACGTAGAAGAATTTGGCGCTTTCATTGTGATTGATGGAACTGCCAATCTTAGTGGTCTCTGTCATCGAACGGAGATGGCAGAGGGGAAAGTAGAGGATGCAAGAAAGCTCTTTGAGAAAGGTGATATTGTCAAAGCTAAGATCGTCAAGATCGACCTTAATAAGGAGCGGATTTCTTTGGGATTGAAAGCCTCCTATTTCAAAGATAGCGATGACGAATCGGATGGTGAAAACGTTCAAGGCGAGAGCGAAGAAATTGTGAGTGAAAGTGAGGACGATGGTGACATGGATCTTGAGCTTGAATCTGGCAACGACATTTCAATGGGAGGAGTCGACTTGGAGGATACCATGAATGGCGATAATAGTGAGAGTGACTCTAGTGACGGGGATGTACAAATGACCGGAACGAAAGATGCCGGTATAACGGGAGGCCTAGTCACTTCTGGATTTGACTGGAATGGAAACAACACCATCGGTTCTGATGAGGACAATGAGTCTGATTCCGACTCCGACAACAAAGCCGCTGTGAAGAAGAAGAAGCGACGGAAACAGGAGATCCAAGTCGATAGAACGGGTGACCTTGACACCAATGGTCCGCAGTCTGTCGCGGATTATGAGCGCCTCTTACTCGGTGAACCCAACTCGAGTTTCCTTTGGCTGAAGTACATGGCCTTCCAACTTGAGCTGAGTGAGGTTGATAAAGCACGAGAGATCGCGGAACGAGCGCTTCGATCAATCAGCATAGGCCAAGACACGGAAAAATTTAACATTTGGGTCGCGATGCTCAACTTGGAGAACACTTTTGGAAACGATGACACTCTCGAGGATGTTTTCAAGCGTGCTTGTCAATACAACGATCCGCAGGAGATCCACGAGCGGTTGACAAGCATATACATCCAGTCTGGAAAGCATGATGTACGTTGTACTGATCACAATACCTTAATTCAGTTGCAAAACTTTTTACTGATCAATTGGTATATAGAAAGCGGACGAGCTCTTCCAAGCAATTCTCAAGAAGAAATTCACCCAATCCCCAAAAATCTATCTCAATTTCGCTACCTTCCTTTTCGACACACTTGCTGAGCCGGAACGGGGACGTGCACTCCTCCCGCGCGCCATCCAATCACTCCCAACTCACACTCATGTCGACATCACGTCGAAATTTGGCCAGTTGGAATTCCGCTCTCCAAACGGAGACGTCGAACGTGGACGAACGATATTTGAAGGCCTCATCTCTTCGTTCCCCAAACGCGTTGATCTGTGGAATGTGCTGCTTGACCTGGAGATCAAGAACGGTGACATGGAACAGGTGAGGGGGTTGTTTCTGAAGAGGTTCTGGGGCTGGGACATCCCATTGCGGCGGACGCGCTTATGTTCAGCATGGGCGAAGAGGTGAAGGATAAG